GAAAGGAATGAAAAGGCAGAAATGTGTCACAGTTGGAAGATCCAGGCAGCCATGGTCGGTGATCGTCGTGTCAGCGCATTTGGTGGAGCCAAGCGCCACTAATTTCATTTTGATTCATCTTGCAGCAGTGAAATCTCTACAGCGTGCAAAATTAGTATCATTCTATAGACACAAGGTGCCATTTTGTGGAGAAAAAATGCTTCTCCACAAAGTGATACTTTGACTACTGAGATTTGTGGGACATCTTTGCATTTTATAGAGAAATGACGCGCGCGCGCATTGTATAAAATGAAGTCGCGCCACCCTTTCTATATAGACATGTTTTTTTTGGGGGGTCATTTGGTAGAAACTTTTCGGATGTGCCATTTTGTAGAGCCGATAGCCGTTTTTCTACAAAATGATCGTTTGAGGTGAAGCTCTCCAAGAAGGCCAAGAAGAGAATGGCTCCAGCCGGCGCGGGGCGTGGCGCGTGGGGCGTGGGTGGTTTGCGGACGGGACGGGGCAGGACGGGATCGTGTGGGGGCAAGCTCAAGCATGTTCAAGCCAAGCCAATCTTTCAAGTGGTCTCCAGTGTCGGAGGTTTGGTCCTGAAGGCTTGACAGAGGAAGAATTGGTACCTCAAACCTGAAGATCGATCATGTGCCAAACTCCAAAGGTTCCCCAAAACAGCAAATTTTTGGTCAGATAGAAGAAGTTGGCGAATTTGATGGATCAATTTGTGAAGTGTCATGGCTTTGGGAGGTGAACGTGTTGATGCTAGGTAGGAAGTGAGGAGGAACCTTGCAGAAATCAGACACCATTTGGTGTGTAGATTCAACCGGTTTCGAGAATAAACCCGAAAGCAGAGACCTTGCTCGATGTCACTAGGGAGAGCACTGTTAGGAAGAGATTGAGGGAAGGACTAGACTCGACTCGTATGATCCACGCAAGCCAAATAACCTGGGAACGCCCCAGGGAACCGCCCCAGTGGCCACCGCCCCTTCTGCAGGGCAAGCGTGGGCTGGTCGCCTTGTTTGATGATCGTGCAATTTGTGACAGTCATGGGCTCAGGGGACGACCAGAGCAGGGCAGCGCTGTGATGCGTTGCACCAGTCAATCCATCCGAAGTATCTCCGTCAAAGAAGGTAAAGCAATTGATTGCTGCGTCTGCTACGTCATAGAAATACAGACACTGAAAGATGGCACTTGGAAGACGCTACCAGAAACGGTGGTGGGTCAAAAGCTATCTCGGCAAGGTGTGCTTTCGTGCTAAGAACAATGCCCCCCCTGCTTGGACCGAGCTGAACCCGGTGAGTCTGGCCAAGTGCACACCCATCCTTGTTGATGAACGGAAGAGGTTCCTGCAAAATATCAAATCTTCCCATTTCGATTGCGGAGGTCGAGGTGGCCTCTTTGTCCACGGATCGTGTGTGATCCAGGGATCAGTTTTTGGTGGGACAATCTCTTTCTTGGCGGATGCACTGGCCTCAGCAGGCTTGGGGCTCTGACGTGCTTCATCAAGACCACCTGCTGCAATCACATGTGCCGGAAAACGGCCTTCAAGGATGCGGAGCAGGCACCAGTTTCTGATATTGATTGTAAAGTCCAAGAAGTCAGCAGGAACATTTGCACGAATCCATTCCAAATTGGCCTCATTTCTGATGGTGGCCTGGATGTCTTCTGTTGTCGTGCGCCACCAAAATTCGAATCTGTGGGCCACCAATGGGACCAACTGCAAGCTGTAGGCGTCGGAATAAACGGAAAAGAGTTGCGAAACCGCACATGCCTTCAGGATCATACTGTTCCATGTAGTGGACTTGCAGGACATTCTGGTCATTATCAGTAGTTCGAATCAGCACTCCAATGAGATGTTGGACCATGTGACGCCAGATTGGTGGCAGTGTGAGGCACAGCTGAGTGAAGTGATCGTAGCGACACAGTTCGACAGTGATCCAATGATTCTGCATAGCAATGCACCACACGATGTCATATGTTGGTTGGAAGCCATTCAGGAAGCTCAGTGTGGCAGACTGATGCACCCGCATTGCAGGCGGACAGAATAGCGTGTTGGGCTCTTGAAATCGGAGGATCTCCAGGGTATAGTCAATCTCATCTGATGTTGCCCACCCAGGGAATTGATGGAAAGTCTGAAGCCTCTCAGTTATCCTGTTGAACAAGTTGTCCGGTTGAAGCGTAGTGTGGTGACCTGGTCTAGGACCACTTGGCTCTGGGATGGCAACACAACTGGTTGGCCACTGCTGTCTCTCCGAGCGAGGAACCATAGGAAATTCTTCCGAAGCCTTGCAGCGAGGTATACAAGCATGGGGCATTTCATAGACTCTCCAATCTTTGATGGACGATTGCACGCACATCTCGATTGTTTGGACACACCTGTCTGGCAGAGCGTATTGTCGGGAGAGATCAGGAATCTCATCATCAAGATGGGTACCACCTCTGCAACAAAGTCCAACCACATAGGTGAGGGGAGTACTCAGCTTGCTCACTCCGCACATCAATTCGGTGAGGTGCTATGTCAAGCAGCCGGGCAATGAGAAAAGTAGCTCTTGTAATATCTTGTAATCAACTCTTCCTAACTTCCTGTAGCTGTACGAAAACAACAGATGCCCTGTCACCATTGCGTTGGATTTCACACGCAGCCCAGTGATTCCCAACAAGGATTGGCGCAATTATGGTGGTGTTGTTGTAAATGTGGACTTCCTCACCATCATCTTCAAAATCAGGCTTCGTAGGGTCCCACATCACAGGAGCCGCAAAGATGGCTCCATTGCAAACTTAGTCATTGCTTGCATTTCGTCAGAGGCCAGCCATCCCTGAGTATTGCGCATGAACTCTGCTCGTGAGTGAAAATCCGCCCCTTGTGCAAGGCAAGGAGAAGGTCCCCCAGCCTCATGATGTCCTCCTGCAGCAATTGGGTTTGCCATCAAGGATTTCAAGGGCTCGATCTTGTCGCCAGACTGCATCATGATTGCAAAGCTTTGGAATTACCCCCTCATCTTGCACGAAGAAGCGAAGGCTTGAGAGCTGCTCTGTGATGGGATTGTGATGAGGTGGAACTCATCACGGCTCTGCACATACACCACTCGATACAACAAATCTCCCGGGCTGCAAATGAGAAAGGTTGTGTTGCATGTAGTCCCTTCACTAAAGACCCGGTCACAGAACACTGCTGCCGATAGACAGCCTGGTCAATGAAGGTGTTCACTGCTCCCTGGCAGCCCCAACACTGGAAATGAAGACCAACGTCAGGATGAAGGACAATCAAGGAAACGGGCTGTGGCTCATGGTAGATACCAATATTCTTGCAGGCGTCAGTGATTATATTGTCCAAAACCAATGGTGGCATAGTACACTCTCATGGTCCTTGGACGCAGGAATATGAATATGCTTCTCCTCCCTGGCCACGACTGTAGGAGAAATCTCGATGGCCTCAGGATTCAGATTCAGGAAACAAGCGATCGTGCATTGGCCGATCACAGTGGCAGCAATCATCACACTCCACTCACTTGCATGGGCAGCGAAAAGGCCAATAGGCATGATCATGCTTGACTTCTCATCCTCGGCCCGAAAGTAAATTTGCACCGAAAAGCTCAGTAACAGCGTCTCGCAGACAATGCCATCGGGGCACATGCTTGAGAGGGAAATTGAAAACCACGAACTGAGCGGTCACATCACTACGGCACCAAACACCAAGGCACCTAGTGCGAAGGTGATTTGACATGCGATGCATGGGAGTCACCTGAGCCCAAATCTTTCGGAAGCCAAGGCTCTGAAGCAGGGATTCGACCAGCTTAAAATGCTGATGCTCGACGATTTCATCGGAGCATTCAGCCAAGATGCAATTTGGCTGAAGGATCATGGAGGGAATCGCCGCGTCAACAAAAGCCCATCCATTGTGGTCATCGAGACCTAACTGCTTACCCCCCTTTGACCAGCTTTGGCATGGGAGTGAGAGAGACCCCACAAATATGTCTGGAGTCGAATGACGTTAGCGATGCTCCAATCCGCAACAGACCCGTGAACGCCCACATGTTTGGCTGACGGCCACGCAGTGCTCCAATGTATCGGGCACCTGAAAGGCTGCTGGCCATGTTTGACACTCCACAATTCCATAGCCTGCTCATTGAGGTCAATCTCAAACTGTTGATGAAGGCAGAACGAAGATGCGGTCTTGTCCAGGAATTCGGCAGCTTGTGACCAACCACTGTACGCTCCCGAAAAACAATGGATCATGCTGCACGGCATATCCCTGTCGAAATCAGCCCGAAAAGTGATCGTTGCCTCGTCCTTGAACTCAATGAAGTCATCCTTGTTGCAGATCGTCTCACCTGCACACGTTACACGGACACCCTCCGAAAGGCAGATTGAACGTTGACCCAGGAAAGGCGTGCGGACAACAACTCGATGGGCAGGATCCGCTGCAGGGCCAAACCCTTGAGCGGGAGTGAACGGCAGAAGACCCATCTTGATGTAGTCGCCCTCAACAGATTCCACTTCCCCCACCACGATGACCTTGGTGTCGGACTTCAACCGCCATAGCACGAAAACTCCTGAAAAACACGTGAGAACCGAACCACGTGTATTCAGGGTGAGCAACTTTGGGGTCGCTCTGGTGGACACTGACCCGCACCTTAGGGGTGCGCTAACGGCCCCGGGCGCCCGTTCGCTCCAGCTTTTTGGGGTCTTTGAACCCCAGCGGCTGCATACAAGCGCATCCCAAGCTCCAAGTGTAACCCGCTCCCTGGACATGAGACATGGTCCAAACGACCGTGGTCTAATGTGAAGACAGGGGACCGACATGAGTAACATAGGGAGCCCTGAAATGGCGTGTTTGGTAGGGTAGGTCGGGTCAAGTAATAAAGGAATAACATAACAGAATAGCATATATTAAGGTGTCTTTGGGGTGTCATGCTCAGCATGGGTAGGTAGGAAAGGGGGGGGTTGCAAATGGTCCAGGACCGTTCTCGGCGTTGCCGTTTTGTCCGATGAGTGTCCAATCCAAGGATTGCACGCTGAGTGCTTCCCTCGGAGGCGTGGCTTCCATGACTGATCGACGCTCAGCCTTCGCGAAAGTATCATGAGGACATGAGGACACAATGGACGTGTCCAACAATGGCTGGATGAACTCGTCTAGACCGCTGACTTGTGGCACCTACAGGTCCACCCACAGGTCCACCATCATCCGGGCCATGGATCTCAACCCGTTTTCGGGCCACGGAGCCTTGCTCTTCCGAACCATGCCCGCTCCAAAGGGGTGTCCAAAACCACACGGCCGAGTCAGTGGCGCCAAAATCGTCTATGATTTGGCCTTTGGTCTCGGCCGAGGATCAGTTTACCCATGTTTACCCTTAGACCATCAAGAGGAACAGTTAGGCTCCTGTGAAACCCCCCTGGGGTTTTCACGTAACATAAAAGGTCTAGTTTTAGAGACTGAAGCAATCCTGACACCTTCCGCACAAAACCTGGCACGGACCCTTGCAGGCCAGAGCCGTTCGAAACAGTGCCTTGGTTTCGGAGTGAGATTTTTTTTGGAACGCGCCAAAGCGAAGCTGGCGCGAAGTGCTGGAGACGGTGAGAGGGAAAGGCAAGAGTGCCGTTCTATGGCCGCACATGATTGAAATGATGAGAATTCTCCGGTGTCGTTCACGATGGATGTGAGTCAAAAGCGAACCCACATGGAAACCGAACCCACTGAAGCAACAAGTAGGGTAGACTTCTTGCAGCACCCAGTAAGATCTCCTTCTTCACGGTTTTGTTTCTCTTTGGGCCCAGTAGGAGGGGGTTAAGTCTGTGGAGACAAAGTGTATGTGTTCCCTTCACCGGCAACACTTCAACTGTAACAAAGACCGGTTTGCCGCCCTGCGGTTTGGCTCACCAGTTCGCCGACCTCACCTTCCAAGCTCTTAAACGACAACTAGATCCCTTTCAAGAATGGATGGTTGTGAAGTTATGGAGAATAAAAAAACTGTTCAGCATGACGAAAAGAAAAACATATTGTAAATCCCACTCAAATCCTTAATAATTAAGAAAAAAAATTCTCTTAACATGTGATCCAACTCTGTCTCCTCCCAGGTTCCTTTGGTTCAAAGTGGCCGCTCGCAGCGCCGTGGGCCGTGGACCCCTGTCCACTGCCGTGGCACGCCGCTGCTCGGGGACTCCATCAGCGCCGCTGCGGCCCGGCGAAAGAGTTCGTTCGGAACGCCAAAGGGTTTTGTGGATGGAACGCTTCCGGGCCTTCCGATGCAACAGCTTCCAGCCCTTCCGGGCTGTAGAAAGGATCGTGAATTCTGGCAAAGCTGTGCATATTTGTGCAGCATCTTTCATCTGCTTTCCAACTTCATAATCTGGCAGCGGGTCAAAACAAGGGGACCCTGGTTGACCACCAAAAATGAACAGAATAGACTACCAGGTAGGTCAATCTACATCAATCTAGCACGGATTAAGGGTGCAGTTTTTCACCCACACTCATCTGTGGATAAGAATGTGGCAGCACCCCCACCCGCTGAGGTGTTGTGAGATCACTTTTGTTGAACGACTGTGCAAAGAACAGTACAGCCTGCCGCTGTGACCTCTCTAGTGAATCGGATGAGCCCTACAGCTAATCCACCAGGAAACAAGCGCGATTATGGCTCATCAAACCGTCCCCATTTTCACCGTGTCCTTCCTTGATGATCCTAACCTAAGTGATCATAACACGCACTCACTTGCTTCTGATCCACAGAAGCTGTTTCGTAGCCCAGAAACAGTGAGCATACAAAACTGCATCAAGCTGCCAGAGTGAAACTGCATCAGTTTGGAACATGATGATATCACATGATCTCCTCCACCGGACCCGGTTTCGCGCCGGCCGGAGACACCTGACGCGGCGCCTCGAGGAACCTCACGTTGAACTCCTCGAGCTTCGCCGCCGACGGCATCGGATGGAGCTTGATCACCTGGGAGGAGTGCGAAGCGGAGTGGTAGCGGGGATTTGGGGGTTCTTTCTTCCTGGAGTGAAGTGGAGTGAAGGTTTGTTGAGGTTCTTTTTCCTTGCTGGAGCTACACGATGCCTACACGATGCTACACGTTGTAAACTGCAATTGAAGAAGTGATCGCCATTGACGCCCCGTCCCGGCCTTCTTCTGAGAATTACAATGGGTTGTCTTCTTCAATGCGTTTAAGTTGACGAAATGAAATATGAACTGCAACACACCCCTCTTTCAAAAGTCCCACGGGTCTTGAATTTGTTGCTGGCATCTGTCTGGGATTCGTCAGCTGACTGAACCTGTACAGCGAGTTCTCTCGCCAGTCCCCCCACCTCCGGAGTTCCGGACGCTAATGCGCCCTGGGCTGACCGCGGAGCCCTGTTCCGAAACCCACCTGGCTCCGTAGCGCAGCCCTTCCCTCCGGGGTTGAGGAGCCCTCCGAGCTGCACGACGCCGTGCTCTTGGGCTACCAGGCGCGACCGTTCGTCCGGTCTACGCTGCGTGGGGAGAACACGAGAGGATCCGCCAGTTTCGACAGAGTCAGCTGACATGTTCATTTGGATGATTTTGGAGGGGGCTTGGAGAGATTGGGGGGGAATCTATTTGTGAGCCATTGGCCACTCTGGAGGAATCCTGAAGATTTTTACAGTGACAGCAGCTTCGCAAGCTTTCAGCACCCAGCTCTCGTTGGTGCTTTGGCTGTGGAGGTCTATGTGGACGCCAACACTGCTGATGCACAGGACTTTGGGACATGTTTGGCGTCGGAAGATGGTTTTGATTGGTGTCACCATGGTGACTGTTCAAGGCTGCGGGTCACGAAGATTCACAGGGTATATAGATACTGGTACTATATATTGATATATATATAGAGAGAGAGAGATTGTGTTGTTTACTTGGATTGCTTTTTACAGTGTTGGAGCACAGGCCATGCTTTGCAGGCTTGGCTTGGCCATGGCTTGACCACGGAAAAGACACAGGTGGAAGCCACATGCCTCACTGTAGTCAATGTCGAGTACTGCTGGAACTGGCACTGGTGCATGATTCTGTCAATGTCCATCAACAGTATTCTGTCACAAGGGTGTCCAAGCCAATCCAACAATGGAAGTGCCCTGGGATGCCCTGGAAAAAAAACATGTTCCTCTACTAATAATAGAGGGTGGTCCGCTTCTTTCTTTGTTGGAGACAGGGTAATCACTTGATTCCTGCAGGGATCTCTTGGTGGGATACACATCAAAGATATGTTTGCCCAGCCAGAGGTGTTGCCCAAGACCCCTGTATTTACTCAAGCGTCAATCACAGCAAATATAGACAACAGCCGTCACATCAACTCGTGGGGGAAGCTTAATCTCAACAGTCATCAACATTGGGTTTGTCCTATTACCTGTAACAGTCAGTTTTCACATGTTATCACTATTTTTGAACAAGGCCTGCCACCTAACAATCATCATCCACTGTTACTGACCATAGGATAGACTCGGATAGACCCAACGGCCATGTGTTGACCCGATGTCACCGCCGATGGCCGAAGCCGATGATCCAGGATCTCTACACCTTGCTGGACGTGATCGAGGATCCGGCCCAACGGCTCTTCAAGCACCAAGACGTGGTCCAAGGTGAGACGGCGTTGACGTGGACCCCGCCGGCGGTCCGGGCGGTCCAGTGGACGACGATGAAGGTCTCACCGGCCCCTCTGGTCGTCTCGAACGCCGAAGGAACGTCCCAGGTCGATGGCACCGGTCACAGCGCGCCAGGTCAAAGCTACAAGTACAAGGTCACCGCGGTGTCCGAGACCGGCGAAGGCACCGCGAGCGTGGTGACGCTGGTGCCCGCCGTGGTGCCCTTGGAGCCGCCGGCGCCGGTGTTGCTGGACGACTGCACCATGGCGTGGCCTGGAAAGATACATCCATGGTTTTGCTCATATATAGTGTTCTCCAAATAGACAGACACAGTTTCCAATACATTTTTAGTGAGGTTCTATTTTTCTATCTATTTGGGGACCACTATAGATCTTAATTATGTGTTTGATATTATTTGATCGTTTGGTGAGTGCTTTTTGGTGTGGTGAAGCGCCGGGTAGGAGATCAAAGGGTGTTTTTTGCTTGTTGGTTTGCTGACCCAGGCAAACTTGGATGTGCTTAATTATGTTCTTTTCGCTGGCCACGTGGCAGACCCGCTGCGTGGAACCACGAAATCACACCGAGGTGGTTGGCGGAGAACGGCACCACCAAGGCCTTGTGTTCGATTGCACAGCGCTATCAACTGGCAGTGGCCAGTGTCGATCTCCGAGCCCCTCGACCGTTAGTCGGGCCGGTCTGGAGTGCGGGCGGTGCATGAACGCGCGAGACGTGCAGGTCGAGCTTTCGCTCGGTGCAGAAGACATGGAAGGCGGAAATGATCCGAGGGTTTGAAGAAATTTGAGTGAAGGCCTCCACTGGGTCGACCCCGTGGAAGCACTCTTTGCAAGGTATCAACAAACGTTCGAGACGCAGCCAAGTGGTCCAATTCACCGAAAGGATTGCTGAAGTCCCCCGGTCTTTATGTCGTCCCACACACAGCGAGAAGCGTGCAGTCTTGCTGACACCACTTCTTAATCATCGTCATGGAAGTCTGACCTGGGGTGGAAACAGATACTTGAAAACATATCCCAAATCAATTAGCAAGGTTCAATTTCTACTTGCCTCGTTCAACACAATCACACCATGCCCTGAGGGGAGTTCTGTAGAGACGACCACTACGGCGGGTTCACCAATTAGTTACTGGGATGGTGCAGTTTTTGTTCAACCGCGCTGGGACAGGGTCTGAATCAAAACGCACCCAAAACCATAGATGCATGTACCAGCACCTTCAAAGGGGTCACCAATGGAAGCCCCTACACCACAAAGGGACCTCCAATGGACACCCCTTGAAGGTCCAGGTATGTCTCCAGTAGGGCCGGATGATGTGAAGTTAAGTTAATTGCTGCAGAACCTTTGCTGGAGAACATGAGAACCTCTGCTGCGCAGAACGGTAAGGACAGTGCAGACATCAACGCACCCCGCGTGAACCCCTTCGTCACGGTGGTCGCGGGGACCGTGATGACCGTCAGCGAGGAGGTTTATAGTGCTGATGGCCGGATCTACCTGAAACCTGGCAGATTTACCTCATGTTTTGGATAGTTATATGAATATGGCTTAAGGAACAACATAAGGGACCTGCACATGCAGACGAGGGTTGTACGAACTTTGTCTTCCTGGTTTTGCCTGTAACCGCGGGTTGATGTTTACTGGCTCAATCACAGGCTGCAAGAAGTGTGGCAATGTACAACGTTGAGGTGGGCTTGTAATTAGCACAATCTCTTTTGTCCATCTTTGGTGCTGAAGACCCTTGTGTGACATTGCGAGAAGGGGTGCCATGACCCCACTCAGCATGCCTCAACAAATACAGCAGCCACCTGTGGCAGCAATGACCAGTGACTACTGATTTGTTCGGATGCTTTGTGATTGTGTTTTCCCTTTTGAGCACAGGTTACTTCTTTTGCTGCATTTGTTGGTCATGTCCAAAATTGCCAACCCTAAAGACAAAAGCCTCAATGATGTGTGTTTGTCTAATTGGTATGTTGTTTAGAAAGGGCAGTTTGGGTGACCCGCAGTCTCCTCAAACGAGGTGTTGCTGTACTGGACTTGGGCTATGCCAACATCTTGTGAGGTTTGAGGCCTGTGTACTCAAGATCAATGAACGGAGACCTATACCCAGACCCTCTGTAGAATGTGCATCAAATCGTTTCTGTCGGACGCGATGCCGCTGAGGAACCTGCCAGACTTGGGCGGATGGCTCTGGGATGACACGCCGCTGGACCCAGGAGAGGGTAGGGTAAGACCTGGCAAAGAGAGGAAAGAAGCCCAGGTCTTGGCCTTAGGTCTCCATGACTGTTTTCCAGATCTTATCTATACCAGGTATTCATGGTGTTATTTCCAGACCAGACTTCCGGAGATTTGATCATGCATGATAATGGTTTTAGCCGCAGAAGCAATAGATGCGACGCAATATGCCAGAGCCAGTGCCAGAGCTGGTGGCCATGATCCGCCTTCAAAGGGAGCTAAAACCTTACCCTACTTCACCGATGCCCTTCACAACCCCTTCACCTGCCTGCACACCTGCGCCCGCGCACGACAAAACTATTGAGCGGACCTCTCCGTCCGGGCCCCCAAAAAACATCTCCCTGCCCTAACTCCTTTTTCAGCAGCATGGTCAACCGTGCACACTGTGATCGGGCAGGAAATCCCTTGGCCTATCGTTTGCCCACCTTGAAGTTCTCCTGGACCTGGTACGACGACGAGGTCCGCGCCCTGGGTGGTCAGCCGCTCACGGCCTGGCACGTCTACCGCTCCGGCGACGGCGTGCAGTGGGACGCGGCCACGGAACTGGCGGCCAGCGCGCGGAATGCCTCCTATGACTGTGAGGTGGCGCAGGTGGGGAGAGCCGCCACGCAGGTAGACGAAGCTTCGTTAGTCTTTTAGTTTAGATGCGCATGTTACCGCATGTTCGTTTGTTCATCTCAGGCTGGTCCGACAGAGGGTATGAATCGGATGGTACTATAGAATGACTATGATGTGCCCATGCAAGCTGCTGCCCGGTGCCCACCCAGTGCCGCACCCAAGGTGGGTTTGCCCTTCTGGGTGCGGGTAGCAGCAATGAACAGTATCGGCGAAGGCGGGGAGCATACGGGGACTCATAGGGATCGGAGGATCGTTGGACTTCACGTGTGATTCATGTGATGTCGTGAATATATGTGAATATGTGAACCTACTCCCAGAGCCTGAAGAGTTCAGTCGCAGAATTCGTGTCCAGAGGGGATACCGTACGTAGACTGCTTTAGAACCTATGGACTATATTCACGCAAAGAACCAACCTGGAGTCCGGAGTGTTTAAGTGACCTGTTCAGGGATTCAGTGACCTCATTCTGAGATCTCAAGAAAGTCCTGGTACGTGGTGTGGTTCACGCAAAAATCATCATGTAGACACATAGAAGTCCTTAGAGCAGATGCACAACCCGCTGTCAAACACTTGGATCAGGTCAAGATTCCTCAGAAGATTTACTGATCCTGGATCCTCCCATGTGCTTCAGTTTCACCAGAGGATTTTGGGGGTGGCTAAAAATGCCCTCCAACCACATATACCAAAAAAGACCCACACCCGCCAGGGCCACGTGTGTTTCGCCCACACCGCATCAGCAGAGAGAGGCCCCGCGTCGGATGCGTTGAAGCTCCGCTGCGCGCTGCCGCCGGGGATGCAACCGGCGCCCAGTCAGCTGGACGGAGATTTGAACTCCATCATCGTCACTCGGAGCACGAGCTGTGATGGTGAACGGTGACCTGTGTCTAGGGGCTGTGAAAAAAGTTGGGTTGGGCCCTCTCATCTGAGTGGCAAAAGTTGGACCAGGCACCTTCGGTGCGGACGAAGGCCATCCGGCCTCAAAGAGCCAGTTGTTTTTGTCCATCACAAGGTTACGAGCTTTGCCTTCAAAAGGTTGACCGCAGCAGTCATCAGTTCGCAGGGATGTTCAACACGTGTATATATAAAAATACAATATACATATTGTAATTATTATCGAATTGAATATAGATTTAGTGGATGCCCGATGATGTTCTTGAAATCCACCAGAGAAACATCGCCGTGTTTCACCTCGGACCTACTCAGTGTTGTTTCACGTCGCACCATCCGGAAAGCCCACATTCATGATAACACCCAAGTGCAGGGGTAAGAATCCAGAATCCAGACGGCCAGCCATGCACCAGGTGGGCTTCGATCCACAGAATCTCCACGGTGCAGAGCTCTTCTTTCACCGAAGCTTGGCACAACGAAACGACCAAGAGATGCTCTGAGTACGCTGGAGTGTCCAAACCTGAACGTCTTTTGATGGCTATGAAAGAAGAGACTGCAAGTGGTTGAGGTACATAATCGATTCTACAGCTCAAATCAAATCGGCATATTGTCTTATAGGGTATGTAACATGTGATATGCGGTTTTGCTCCACAGGCAGACTTCCTGGATGTCGGGAAGATGACCATGCTATCCCTTTGATCCGCCTCCCTTGCCCCTTGAAGGTCGACCAAGGTGTTTGTTTACTCGTTTTCGACCCATGCAAACTGGGAGATCAAATAGAAAGTACTTGGACGAACCTGCAGATTGACTGCCTTTACTGGGATTTCCAAGTTCCAAGGCCACGCATGCCTCAGGCTGACTCGCCTTCTTCGAGATCGCCCCATCATGTTGTTTCCTTGTAGACTCATTGGATATTATGTGAAGATCAATACCACAGACATGTTGGTGCATCAAAAAAATCCCATCCACTCCGGGTCACTCACTTCAGACACCAAAAAACAAGCCCCTCACGTCAGCCCCTCACGTCAGGATTCCGTTCGAAACGACCTCCGTGGCCAGGATTGACCTACGCCTTGTCGGACGACCTGGAGGGCATCCTGGCGCCCACGCAGCTGGACGTGCCGGGCGCGGAGCAGCGAGTGAACATCTCCGGGCTGCTGCCCTTCGCGACCTACGTGGTCAAGGCGCCCGACCCATGACACCAGAGTGATGTGGAGTCAGGGGTGGAAAGGGATGGATTCCGTGGACGAAAGCGACTGGGAACGCCAAGACTGTGATTTTCTGTTGGGCTGGGATCAACTTAGTGGTGCAGGAGTACTTCCATCATGCCAGGAAGTCATGAGTACACGCAGCCCTGTGACGCGGCTACGGTGCGTCACAGTTCTTTTGGTGAAATCAATGGGATGCATGGAAGCTGCTCGACCTTCCCGGCACGGCCTTCACGGCAACAAGCTGACGGGGCAGGTAATACCTGGCAGGCAGGTCGTCGCCGACGCCGATCAAATGGACCCAATATGATGACCATGATAGAAACCATTTCGCCAGACCCCGGGGCCATCAGGGGCCCAAGCAGCTGGGCCCAACGTCCCCGCTTTTTGGAAGCAACCCAGTCCACGAATGAGTCCACTTGTCTCGATGCACCAGGAACCACCCAGGAAGTACCTCCGTACATGGTGGTCACCGTCGGTGTGGAACACGTGCTTCGCGCGCCGCGATGTGACTACCCCTCGGCCGGCGAACAAACGGCACCTACCCCGCACGGTCCGACGGTACCGCACACGAGGTGCAGGCCATCACCGAGGCGGGGACCTCTTTGGATCCAGGTTGGCAGAGCGCCTTCGGTTGGAGCGGGGCATCCGGCGGGCGGATGGGGAAGGGGAGGGTGGGGTGGAGTGTGACAGCCTCAACCTCAGGATGACGTCCATGCCGGTTTTGGCGGTTTGGTCGTGCGTTTTACACGCGCCAGTCAACGTAAAATGTGTGTTCCCCACATTGACGTGTGGTTTTTTTGTTTTCCGTGTTGTATCCGCTCCTCCGCCCTCCTCCTCCCGCTTGCCACCAACAAACTGCCAGCGACAAACTGCCACCAACCAATTGCCACCAAGAAACTTCCACCCACAAACTGCCACCAACCAAGATAAACTAACAAACTTCCAGCCGCAGCTTTGCCAGTATGATTTGCGTGGCAGGCGCAGCACTTGGTGCTCTCCAGAGGGTCGGATGTACTCCCTGCCTTGCCGTTTCAGGTGGGAAGTGGCCCCACACCGGTGACAGCGTTTTGAAGAGCCCGCTCGGACGTTGCGTGATCCGTGCTTCCGTGGGCTCAAGTCCAAAGAACGCAGATGCTATCACATTTTTTAGGGGGTCACGTTTTGTGGCCTGTGAGTTTAAGGAGTGTGCGTGAGAAGTTCTGAGGGGTATGTGTGTGTGTGTGCCCATGAAGACGCATCTGTTGCACAGTGATATAGTTCTGGGACGCCAGAACTACGTACCTGCCTTTTTCACTCTTAGGAAATGGAACCCTAGGCCGGCGTGTGGCACCGCTGTCAAGTCAGGACGCATATCCATAAGTGGTTTGGCCTCGTGCCAGCCCGGGATGAGCCCGCAGAGTGCCTCCCGTGGACCCGTCGAACGGGGGTTTGTCCAACGTATCCCCTGCCTGGATACAGAGCAGCTCGCAGCGAGCGTAGATGGCTCATGCCTCAAGAATTGGGATGTTTGTCTCATCTTTGGAATTCCAAGTTGGCTCATGCCTTTACGTGACCGCAGCGGTCAAAGCAGCCAGCCATTTCTGCAGGGCACAAGGTGACCACAGCGGTCAAAGCCAGTTTAAGGTTCATTGGAACCTGTCGCGACCTTGGGTGCACACACAGCGTGTACACTGAAACGAGGCAGGTCCCTAGGTGCTTCTAATGAGGTTTGGTTTCATCGGTTCTCGTCCCCTCCATTTGGTTCCCCTTTCATCCCTTCCCCTTCACACACTTTTGTTCTCTCTTTTCTTTCATGTCCTCCTGTCTTCATGTCTGTTCATATCATCCTTTTTTTCGTTTGCGTGTGTACGTGCACTTTTACATACCTTTAAACACAGGTTTCAGGTCGCCCAGGTCTTTACAATGAGGTGGGCTTCATCGGGTGTCCCTGTGCACTTGGTTCCCCTTTCATCACAACCGCACGCACTTTTGTCCCGTCTCGTCCTCCTGTCATGTCTTCATTCTTTTGTCTTGCGCGCGCACACGTGCACATTGGCCCTTACCTTAGATTTACGCCTCCCCTCGGGGAGGCGTGTGTGTGTGTGCCCCTTGTGGTCACAGGGATCCAGTCGGATTGTGCTAATTTTTCGGTTTTCAGCAGGTGGCTGGAGTGTGCTTCAGATGTCTCCAGCCAACGAAGACGCATCTGTTGCACAGTGATATAGTTCTGGGACGCCAGAACTACGTACCTGCCTTTTTCACTCTTAGGAAATGGAACCCTAGGCCGGCGTGTGGCACCGCTGTCAAATCAGTACGCATATCCATAAGTGTGTTTCCTCCGGAGGCGGTGAAGCTTTCTTTTTTGGACCATTTTGGATCCCAGCCAATGGGTGGCTGGGATTGTGTGAGTCCATGTCGCATCCACGTCGCATCAACACTGACTCCACCAGTCCCATCTTTACAGCCCCCAGAACTCCTGGCTCAGATGCCAAAGACCAGGCCTTTTGGCCTGGAACTCATATTGTTTGTGATGTTTTCGCGTCCTTTTTGGGACTTTTTCACCGTTAGTGGCTTGATAGCTTTCTGTTAGCTGTGGCTTTTGGTGGCTCTGGGCTTTTGGCGGCTGTTGGTTTTTGTTGGCTTTTGGCTTTTGGCAGCTTTTGGCTTTTGGCAGCTTTTGGCTTTTGGTGGCGGTTGGCTTTTGGCGGCTTTTGGCGGCTGTTGGTTTTTGTTGGCGCTTGGCTTTTGGCAGCTTGTGGCTTTTGGTGGCGTTTGGCTTTTGGCGGCTTTTGGCTTTTGTTGGCTTTTGGCTTTTGGCGGCTTCTGGCGGGTGGTGGCTTTTTGCTTTTGGCGGCTTTTGGCTTGTGGTGGCTTTTGGCTTTTGGCGGCTTCTGGCGTTTGGCGGGCGTTGGCTTTTGGTGGCTTTTGGAGCATGTCTCGGATTCTTCTTTTGATCATCTTTCCAACCATCTTGCTATGTTGCCAGGGCATGACCGCTGCCGAGGGCATCTAGATCAACAAAAAATATATAAAGAGCATCAAAAAATATAGAAGGATAAAAAATGCAATAAAGGATCAACAAGAATTCCTTGATAGGCGTCTTCTGCTGCTCTCCTGGCCCTGTGGTCTGCGGATCCTCTGGTCCTTTAGTCAGCTGGTCCACTGGTCCTTTGGTCCCCTGGTGCCTTCCCCTGGTCCTTTGGTCCACGGGCCCTTTGGCCCCCCTGGTCCTTTGGTCCTGGTCCGGTCCCGTGACGGTCCCGTGGCTTTGCGCTCCTGGTCCTCTGGTCTGTGGGTTTCCTATGGTTTTCTCCTTGTTCTTTCACTGATGCTTTTTGGTGCCTTTGGTCGTTTCTCTTGTAGATTGTTGGCCGCAGTTTTCCTGCAAACGTACAATGCTTTTGGCTTCGGTTGCCTTAGGTCTTTTTGTGCACTTTTTGATGCCCTTCACTGAGGAGGCGATAGGGTACATAGTTTCTAGTGATTTCTTTTGCGGTGCTGTGTTTTAACGTTTGGTTCGCTTTGGCGGGGAGGCGCTGCGCCCTCCCCGCCAACCCTGCTCCAGCACCACGAAATCTACACTCTTGCACTGCGCCTGCCACGAACACTAACTATGTAAAGGGTCGCCCATCGCACTTGCAGATCACATATTGCACGTCGTCTAAGTCTCTCTGGGAACTTTGGGGAACTTGTTGCACATATCCTTTCATTGTCTGCTCCTGATCTTGAAGCAGGTGTGAAGCGCTTCCTTTTTGTCAACGTGTATCGCTTCCACGCAGGGCACTTGCGGAACCAAACCGGGACATCTAACTTTGGAAGGCTTTCAATTCAGTGTCTTTGCTGCCTGTTCCTGATTGGCCATATGTTTGGGGGGTGCTGGAGACTTGCGCATGCCATTGTTTGGCACATTTTTGGAGTGTTGGCGTGTTAGTCCTTGTCTTTGGTCCTTTGAGGTGGCTGCTGCTGTCCCCTCCATTCTTCTAGGCTCTAAACACTGTGGCAATGCCAAATAGGTGGACGATAGGGCCGACCTTAGCTTCCACACCTCTGCGCAGTGAATGCTATAACAAGGCTGCAAGTAGTTATTCCATACTATAAAAGCTGTGACAAAGCCACAGAGGTGGTTGATATAGCGCGCCCCTCAGCAATGTCCAGCATGTCCATCCTTTCGTTCTTTTGTGTCTGCCTGGTCCGATGTGTTTCTGTTGACGGCTTTTGAGCCGATGCTCAACCCCAACCATCCTCAGTAGGCTAGAATGTTTTTTGCTTCCCTTTTTAGGTCTTTTTGATCCCCGTTGAATATTTTTTGATTCCCTTTTTTTTGATCCCTTACCCGCTGCCGAGAGGATAGCTGCGCTTTGTTGAAGAACCCTAGTTCGACTATCCCAGTTCGGTACCTGCAGGTGACGGGTCCTTTTTCAGGTCACTTAACCTTTGTTGCTTCTTGCCATAAGAGGTAGGCCAGGAGCCAGTCATTGACGAAGACTCCAAGACCAAGACCGCGAGTAAAAACCTGCGGGGGAAACTGCTTGAAGCGCCGCGAGACGTGACCGGAGCTGAACTTCCAGCGTTCGTGTCTCTAGGTTCTTTTTCTTCACCTCATCCGTTCTGAACAGGGGCTCTTCAGAAAGAGAGTTTGGCGCACAAAAAATAACAACAACGCGTTTTTGGGAACCGCGAAGCCAACTGGAAACCGCATGATTCACTGAATTGGATGGATCTGGCATTCCTTCAGAACATCCCAGACACGGCCATTCCAGACTCTTCAGTCGCGGCCGCCAACCCCAAAAGCGACCCCTTCGCGCTCTCCACCGGGGAACCCGGCCGTGACGGAAGGCCTCGACACACGTGGAAGCTGTTGGGAGCCATGAGCGGAGGAGGGCCTCGTGGAAGGACCCTTTAGATCTGAAGTGAGTGAATGAGCACCCCTGATTACCCTGCTGGTCATACACTTGTACCGACCTCGAAAATGGGTACAAGATGGTACAAATACCCCTACGCTTTTGTGATGGGGTCATGTCCGGGTCATGTCCCATGTGAAGTCGGGTTCGGGTAGAGCTCGGTCCGTGCTGTCGCATCGGGTGAGCGACGTTCTATCCATAGACATAGACATCGCACTGGAAAAGGTATCGGCTTCAGATTGAAAAGTCCAACTTTGAGAATCAATTGCAAACAACGTGTGATATTATCAACCATTGTTATTTATATTGTATATATGGTTAATCAGTATATTAAATTGGCTTTCCTGTGTCCAATGTTGGATACCCAAGGTATGGGTGGTTCGCTTTGGTCGACACTCTCTCTCCTCAGGTCACCATTGGGCTGCATGACGAGAGCAAGGACACGTTGAGCTTCTATCACGAGGAGCGCAGGAAGCGCAGGAACGTTTGTCTTTCCTTTCCCAAACAATCCATGGGACTGGTATATTTGTTGCTCCTCGTGCCGGGCGAGTTCGCGACCCCGTGGCACGTGCCGCACCACTCGTGCGTTTACGCGACACGTGCCAGGCCTGGCCACGCTTGCAGGCGAGAATGGCTGAGGAAGTCTCAGGAAATTCCAAGAGAGGTCAAGTGACCTTATAGGGCCTTACTGGGGTACCTATGGGATAATCGAACTAGGGTTCTTCCGCCTTTTGGTTTGTA